GAGATTTTTCAAATCCCTGATCTCTGGTTCTCTGTATTTACATATAGGCAACTGCCATCGAAGAGAAGTTCAAGCATGAAAATTAGCAAGAATTATGAACTACCAAGGCCAATAATCTTGCATAGATGCTCGTCTTGGCGGAAATTTTCAAAGCATCTGAGGACCACTTTTCTGGCTATCGACTGCAATGAAGGAACGCCACTGAAAAGGGATAAATTGACCTGAAAGCCATAAGCATTGATACCCCCTCCAAGTGAACACTTCACTAGATTTTTTTGAGAGCTATAAATTGCTTACCATCTATTCATAACTGCAAATGAGACATAGTCCTCTTGAAAGTGCCCCTCAGGATGTTTCTCCACATTCAGAACGAGAGCATTACCATCTTTTCGCACATCCACTAGGAACATAGTGTCTGCGATGGGATATTCCAATTCGTGCCATCTATAAAAAAATTTCATATTATTCAGCGTCGTGAAAAAATTTCTCACCCCTCATCATCCTTAACGTAAATCTTCACAGAATTTTCCATGGCTTTTTCGGTTGTCACCCAAAGTTTTCCACTTCGATGGACAGTTCGAACTAAGCAAACAGGATGATTAGGATCATCAAAGAACGAGTCTGGTTGATCTTCCGCAGGCGAGACCCATGAGACCTGAAGGCGGATTTTCATACATTTATCTAAACTGATCTAAGTGAAAACTGTACCTCAGCAGTATCGAGGTTGGCAGAAACAATCAGACCGGAAAACTCGTCCTCTTCAAATTCATCAGCCACAGAGTGAAAGCAATAAAGCATGCGACCTTCTTGCCATGGCTCACTTCGCGACCATGGGCCGCTATCGCATTCTATGTCTAAATGTAGTTTTTTTTTTTGAAGTATAATTCACACGAAGAAGATGAGTTCAACTTCGATCATCCATTTCTCGAAATTTATTCTTTCTCAGACAGCTAAGCATCTGATTTGGATAATGAGTGTAGCTTCAAACATCGCCTCCTGCCCGTTCAAAAATACTTTCTTGCAGCGTTGGTACCAAAATTTTTCGTAATGCCGGCAAAAAATTTTTAAACAAGAGGGCGTAGCGATAGTGAACCCTCTGAGCCTTCTGCGGAAATAAAAGTGAGCGTTC